GGAAAACACTTTGGTCAAGTGCTAAGAGTGTCCCGGGTAACATCTAAAGGTGTGTATGGCCTAGATAGGGAGTTTACTCTTCAAGGGTAAATTCTTTATAGAGTTTATGGCCCTAAGACCTTATCCCCATGAGTTTACGGCCATAAACTCATGGGTGGTGTGTTCTTTGATGCATTAAGGTCTTATAACACTTGTGGAACTAGGCTAGGTTCAATTCTAGGGCTTATGAAGGGTTTAAGGCTTCAAAATGGACCATTTGAGGAGTTTACGGTCCATTGACACTCCTTGAGGAGTTTATAGCTGTAAACACACGAGTTTACGGTCGTAAACTCATGCTTGGTCATTTCTTTTGTTGTTTGGTGGGTCTAACTCATGCATGTAAGGTTCTAGTCACTTTTAGGAGCTTAGGAAGGTGTTTAGGGTACTTAAACACCTTGGAAAGGTGTTTACAGTCTAAGAAGATGTTCTTGGGGATTTTACTACCTTAAACACATGATTTTACGATAGTAAACTCATTTTGTCCATGAATCCTATGTGTCGGTGCATCAAACGAAGGGTTACAAGGCTCTAGGCACTCGTGGAAGCTTTTGGAGGTGTTTGAGGGGTAGTTTAACACCTTAAAAGGTGTTTATGGTCCATGAATATGGTTTTACGGTCTAAGGATGTTCTTAGACTATAAAATCATGTTTACTCCCCAAAATGCAAGTTTTTGGTGTTCTAAGTCCTTTTGGGTAAGCCTCTAAGTCATTGCTATTCATTAGAAGTGGTTTGGAAGGGTTTTTGAGCATTAAAACCCTCTTCAAAGGGGTTTACGGTATTGGGAGGCTCCCAAGACCGTCAACTCAGGTTCTTGGGGTTTTTGGATGATTAAACCACGAATTTGCAAGCTAGATAAGATGAACAACGAGCTAGGAAGGTTAACTTACCGATTTGAAGCTCGAAGGGGCGATTTTTGACCAAAACCCGTTTGTAGAGAGAGAGAAAGTAGAGAGAGAGTCTAAGGTGGGAAAAGGTGGGAATGAAACCCACTCCACCCTTATATAGGGTGGAGTTTATGGCCTGGCTGGGGTTCACCTGACACCAACCGCGAACGGGGTTTTTCACAACTATTATTAATCACGGCAAATTTGAAAATTATACCGCCTTAATTTTGGTTCGCAAGACGAATATTATTTAAAATATTCTAACGGGTTTAAATCTGGTCAAAAATATTTTCGGGATAAATTTGGCTAATTTTTGATGCAATTAATTTCGACGTTAAAACTAACGGAAATTTTTGGGTTGTCACACTTATGAGCTAAGTGAGACATGATCTAGGATGGGAAACCTCAGATCTGAACCTTGTGAGGCCTTTAGAGGCTAGGTGCCTCAGCTTTAGTGGTCCAAATGAGGGTTGATGAGCAAAAACCTTCATAAAGAGCATGTATTGGCGTTTTGAAGCAATAGCATCATGTATAAACATAAAGATTAAAGCTTTACGTAATTATTGAACCTTGGGATGATAGATCTATAGTTTAGAGTGATATATCTGGTTGAAATCGTCTGAATGAAAAATCAGATCAAAGGGACTCGCCGAGTCCATGTCCTGACTCGACGAGTCAGCAAGGGTTTTTCCCGATGGATTGATTGTACGATAACTCGGTGAGTTGGCGGTCAACTCGACGAGTTGAACTAGACTTTTGAGACTTCTGAGGATACCAAGGGACTCAACGAGTCGTAGGAGTGCACTCGACAAGTCGAGTCAAACTTAGACTGTTGACTCGAGTTTGACTTCTGCTGACTTTAGGGTTTTGGTCATCTTGAGTAGTAGAGACCATGGAGGGGTAAAATGGTCTTTTATCCATTTCAAAAGAGTTAATGAGAGAAAGAACCACCTTCAATTATCTAAGTTGTGAAAAGAGTATTAATAAGAGATATTCATCCTTTGTGTTTGGAGGAGGCTAGTTCAAGATCCGAGCGCGAGGTTATTTTCTCACCTGCTAGCCAAGGTGAGTCTTCTTACTATACTTTATCTTGATTGGTAGTTACGTGTGACCGAAAGGTCTTATGTGCTTACATTGAGTATTATGTTATCCTGTTGTATGTGGTATGCTATGCATTATGTCTTTGTGATTTATGCTATGCGGAGTTTATAGACCAGACCGGAGGGTCCAACGATCCGTGAGGCCTGAAGGCTCACAACCAGACCGAACTGGATAGTCCAACGAGCTAGACCGGATCGGAGGGTCCAACGATCTATGGGACTGGAGGGTCCCGCTGAGACGCATTGACCGGAGGGTCTTACAGAGTATCGCCTCGAGTGGCCAATGGTTGTACGTGGTATTTTGGGGAACTCACTAAGTTTTGTGCTTACCGTGTTATGTGTTATGTGTTTCAGGTTTCTCTGGATCGCAGGATGGCACCGGTTTGATTGTACACACCAGAGAAAGAGTTATGAGGATCCTGGATTATTAATGGAGTTGTGTTTTGCAATTTGAATAAACGATATTTTTATACAATATGTTATGAAAAGTACGCGATGTTTAAACGAATTTTTTTTTTTGAAAATTTATGTTGTTACAATCGGAACTTGCTGGACATGGTTCGTTCCATGATGAGTCGAGCTTCGTTACCAATCTCATTCTGGGTGTATGCCTTTGAGACTGCTGCCCATATCCTTAATCTAGTCCTTACTAAGAAGGTTGCCAAAACACCTCACGAAATGTGGATTGGGAAAGTTCCCAAACTGGACCACATCAAGATTTAGGGTTGCGAGGCTTTCGTGAGGCGCGAGTCTCATGAAAAGCTTGAACCTCGAAGTGAGAGTTTTATTTTCATCAGCTATCCACAAAGATCCTTTGGTTACCTCTTCTACAGGCCTAGTGAAAATGTGGTCTTTATAGCAAGAAAGGGAGTCTTTCGTGAGAGAGAATTCAAGCCAAGGAAACAGTGGGAGGCAAATTGACCTTGAAGAGCTTCAAGAGTCAAGTGGTGAAGGAACTTCAAACACTATCAACCAATGTGAGGAGGAAACTCTTGTTGAGCTGATAGATGAGTCCGTACCTCCGAGGCGTTCCACTAGAGTTAGGAACACACCTGATTTTTATTATGGTTATAACATCACCACTGAAGGTGATACATTTATTAGTGATAGTACACTAATAGATTTGGATGAACCTAATAATTACAGGGAAGCCATGGCAGGCCCTGAGTCTGCTAAATGGAAGGAGGCTATGGACAGCGAGATTCAGTCCATATATGACAATCAAGTTTGGAACTTGGTTGACAATGTACCAGGTCGTAAGATAATTGGGTGCAAATGGATCTTCAAAAAGAAGACCGACATGGATGGGAAGGTAGACACCTACAAAGCAAGATTGGTGGAAAAGGGCTTTACCCAAACTCCGGGAGTTGACTATGATGAAACCTTCTAACCAGTAGCAAAGATTAAGTCTATTAGAGTTTTGTTGGCCATAGTTGCATTTCATGATTATGAAATATGGAAAATAGATGTCAAAACTGCTTTCCTTAATGGGAAGTTGGCTGAGGATGTTTACATGGCTCAGCCAGAGGATTTTGTCGATGCAAAGTACCCTAATAGGGTGTGTAAGCTTGAGAAATCCATTTATGGATTGAAACAATCATCTCGTAGATGGAATCTTTACTTCGATGAGAAAGTCAAAGAGTTTGGCTTTTCGAGGAGTGAAGATGAGTCCTGTGTGTAGGTTAGGGCTAGTGGGAGTATAGTTAGCTTTCTAGTGTTTTATGTGGATGACATACTACTCATAGGAAATGATATCCCAACTTTGCAGGAGGTTAAGTCCTGGCTTGGGAAGTGTTTCGCTATGAAGGACCTTGGAGAAGCTGCCTATATCCTAGGGATAAGGATATTGAGAGACATGATTAAGAGACTAATTGGACTTAGTCAGAGTACCTACTTGGATAAGGTGTTGAAAGGATTCAACATGCAGAATTCCAAGAAAGGGGACTTACCGATCCCGCACAATGCGAAACTGAGTAAGACTCAGAGTCTGAGTACAAAGGCTGAGATAGCTGAGATGAGTCGATTTCCATATGCTTCTGCTGTTGGCTCGATCATGTATGATATGACTTGTACTCACCCTGATGTAGCGTTTGCTTTGAGCATGGTTAGCAGATTTCAAGGAAATCCTGGAATGGCACACTGGACTGCAGTAAAGAATATTCTCAAGTACATACGGTGGACTAAGGATAGGGTCCTTTCCCTTGGTGGGAGTCATGACTTGAGAGTGATTGGGTATAATGATGCTAGCTTTCAGACTGATAGGGATAATTTTCGCTCTCAGTCAGGCTGGGTCTTTACTCTAAATGGAGGAGCAATGACTTGGAAAAGTTCCAAGCAAGAGACAGTAGTTGATTCTACTTCTGAATCTGAGTACATAGCTGCGAGTGAAACGGCGAAGGAGGCGATATGGCTGAAGAACTTCATTGGAGATCTTGGACTTGTGCTAGCTATACAAGAGCCTATGGAGATTTTTTGTGACAACAATAGTGCGGTTGCCTTAGCCAAGGAGCCAAGAGATCACGGTAGATCCAGACACATTGACAGAAAATACCACTTCATAAGACACAAGATAGAAGAAGGACTCCTTGTGGCAAAGAGGGTATCATCAGAAGAGAACCCTGCAGATCCCCTCATGAAGAGACTGACTAGGGTTAGGCTTTTGCAGCATGCAAGAAGCATCGGGCTGAGGGACGATATTAGTTTTAATAATTAGATTTCTGAAACTTGTAAAATGTAATTAACATTTTATGATTAAATAAAAGTTGTTATTTATTTATGAGTAAAGTGTTACTATCCTATGTTGCTTGTTTACTATTGTTTCAATTTTGCATGTTTTGACTTCCAGAATAATTATTTTATTCAAACTCTCCACAGTCGGTCATATGTTGGAAGTAGATATGAATCATGACTGTCATTAATTTGGCTTGTAAGATTTGTCTAAGGTGCATTAGACATATCAATGGTTGCTACAACATTCATGAGTGCTCGTAAGGTCTGAGTACTGGATTAAACCAACACTCTCTTGTATCAGTTAATGGAATTTATCTCGAGTGATTGCGAGACGGTAATATCATATATATATATATATATATATATATATATATATATATATATATATATATATATATATATCTCTTCAAACCTAGAGATATGAGTTGTTGACTATGAGTTGGTTATCCATTGATTGTACGAAAACACATCAGTAACTTGATGTCATAAAACGTGCTTTTGTGCATAATTCAACAAGTAGTTATTACAAGCATATGAGTTGAAGTTTATCTGTTCATTCTAGCAATAGAAACGATATCTGGGCCCCTCGATGATTTGGTTTTGAATTATTTACCGGGCCCGGAACCTAATTGATGTGTTCAATTTAGTTCTATGTCAAACAAATCAGAGATCAAGAAACAAATGCTGGACAATAAGTAAGACCATGTTCCATGTGTTTTTCCGGTTGATATCTTGGGAACAGAGGAGTATATGATCACTTATCTAAAATGGCGCTTCATAGTTCAACAGGGTTTTAAAGAGCTACGATTGTTGGTCGGTTCCTGAAGTTATACTTGCAACTATAGTTATTAGACCTATCTAAGTGGGAGACTGTTGGATAAGGTGTCTAAGTCCGTAACTATATTTGCTATCAACTTGACCCGACCCGGCATGGTCCGTTTGGGTTACACTTCACCTAACAACTTGTATGGATATACTTTTGAGAATAAGATGTTTATGGTATATTAATATATTATTAGTTATAATATATTAATATGAAATCATAATTATTTAATTAGTATTGATTAAGAATTAATTTAGAATTGATTAAGTGATCAAAATGGAGCTAATAAAATATGGACTCTTATTTATATATATGGATTGGGATAAGATTTTTATTTAGGATGGGCTAAGAGTATATGGGGTCCATGGATAGTCCATGGAGCTTTTAACCCATGGATCCTAGGTAAATGAAGAGTCATGCGTATTAGGGTTTAACCCTAATCCTCCATACTATATAAAGGAGTCTTTGGTTCAAGAATTGGCACTAGTGTATGTGTGAGCATAAGGGTGAGCCGATTTCTATAGTGTTCTTATTCTCTCAAGAGCTTCCAACTTGTTTTGGTGATTTGTGACACCACTTGAGGCATCCACACTATTGGTTCTAGCCTCATAAACTCCAAGCTACTCACTACAAAGAAAAGGTATGTAATTCTATCTAGAATTTTTGTTATTCATGTACCTACGATTGCATGCTAGATATGTTAAAGCTTTGGAAATCATTTTGCATGTATAATAAAGAAAATATAGTTCCAAAGATTCTAGGGTTGTATGTGAACCTTAAGGATGTTAGGATGCTCAAAACCCATCACTTACTCCTTCAGGACCTCGTCCATTGTCTGACGAATTTCAAACAATTTTGGCTGAGGCAGATAAAGCCAAGAAAGGTGGCAGAGAGTCAAAGAAAGCAACAAAGAAAGAAATTGAAAAAGAAGGACCTTCTGAGGCTGCAAAATCTCCGTCTAAGAAGCGAAAGTCTCCTACTGCTTCCACTACTGCACCAAAGTGAAGGAAGCAACCTGCTAGAAAGTGAAAGTCTCCCACTCCTACTCCATCTCAGAGTGAAAGAGAAAATTATGAATCTGAAATTGAATCAGACATTCGCATTGAGGATGATCCACCAGTTCGTAATGAAGAATATGAGCTCATTCACACTAAAGAGCAAGAATTTGTTCACATTGAGGAGGTCGACAAGTTCGCAACGAACCACCTGTTCGCACTGAGGCTCCATCTCCAAATTGTGAGGTAACTCCACCTCTTAATAATTATGTTCCTTCTCCACCTTCCTCACCGAAAAAAATTGCTTCTATCCTAATCACCATCGCACCCATGCCACCACCAGTATCATCTCAACGATCCACAACTATTCCAGTCTCAATCCCTATTTTCACCGAGTCCACCATTTCACATCACACCTCTGCTACACCTGCAAGCTCAGTCCATGTATCTGATATGGGGGCTAACACTTTAGGTTTTTCAAGCCATGTTACACCACCCATATCTCCCATTTGCACTAATGACTATGAAATGCGTTTCATAGATAATGAAGATGATGATTTGGACGGATTCGCTTACAGTCCTTTTTAAATAAGGATTGACAGTGAAGATAAAGTCTCTACTATGAAAGGGGAACTTCAATCTCTTCATGAGAAGATTGACCAGCTGCTTCTCGCATCTAAAGTCTCCACCTCTGAGGCTTACTCCAAAGTTGTTATTGAATCAATCCTTGATCGTGTTACAAAGGAACATTCTACCAATGTCTCTACTTTGTCCAAGGCTGTTTCTGATTCTACTGATGCCTGCAAGGAAATAACTGAAAAAGTCGATAAACTAATTGCGGACACAATAGCATTCATGGAGGATTACAAGAACACCTACAACGCCAACATAGTGACCTATGAACAAGGCTATTTAGAATGTTGGTACCCTGTTCCAAACGGAAAAGGTGAACTTTGTTGAGCTTTGCAAAGCGCTTTAGTCTGATCATGAAGCATTCCAGTCTTCTATCACTGCAAAAACCACAAAGCTTCAAGAGGATTTGGCAACGGAAAATAAGATCATGGATGCTCTCGCCATCAAGGAGGAAAAGTGTAAGACGTTGGAAACCAAGCTTCACTTCTCTCAAAATCAGGTCGATGATTAGCTAACAAAGAAGGCAGTCACGCGCAGTTGCATCTCCGATGTCACTGGACTGCTCTCTGATATCATTGAGACTCGTGATCCAATGATCTCCATGATAGTAAAGAAGCATTTTTCTGAAATGCTAAGACCGGTGTTTGCTATGTTACACTGTTTGGAGGGTGTTTCAAAGCTGATGTCTTTTTTGAAACAAGGGGGAGAAGGTAGCTCCAAAGTTGAAACGAATGAACCCCCCAAAGATCCAATTAAATCTCCTGTCATCAAGCAAGAACCAAAGAAGAAAGAAAAGCTATTCAGTGAAGAGCCTATTATTGAGGATAGTAAAGACGAAGAGTCTGATGAAGCTGAGCTTAAAAGGCGGAAGGCTCGTGAGGTAGAGATTGATGAATATGCTCGCAACGTCAGAGAGGCAGAAGAAAATGAAAGAGTTGAGAAGGAAGCTCAGGCCACTCTTAAAAGAAAATGTTATTATTTCCTAAGTAGACCCTGAAGCGCATGCAAAACCAAGCTGTGGATATGCCAAGTCAGTATTGGTTGGATCCAATTGCCTCTTTTGAAATCCAAAATACATAGGATTTGCAATTGGACCTGCCTATCACACCAAAGGCGTTCAGGTTTTGTGCCTTTGTAAAGGTTGCTAATGTACCTTTCACAGACCACATTGCGGATCAAATGCTATTTGCATTCTACTTGAAGCACATGAAGCCTCAGTACGAGACTAGGAGTGAGAGCAAGATTATTGCTATGAAGGTTACTGGGCCGATCTAGATCGAAAGCTTCCATAATGAGAAGTTTAAAGTTACGAGAGGATCAACATCTCAAGCCTACGAATTCACTCTCGCAGACCTGCCTTGTTTGAACCCCCATGACTGGATGATGATATACAATATTCTACTAAGAAACAAGGAGAAGTACGAACCTATGGTGTCCCATCTTCAACTTTTGATCAAGTCTTATATTCAAGAAGTTGGAATGATGGATGTGGAGATTGCTACTGTTTTGAGGTAAAAATGAAGCGATGTTCCGAAGGAAGCTCCGAAAGACTTCGAGAAGCTCAAGCCAGGAAAAATTTTCAAGGACGGATGGTTTGTGGTGTACACGCCTAAAGATCATCCAGGAGAAGATCGTCACAAGTTATTTTTTCATCTCGAAGACAAAAACTTATTTACTGCTTCCTGTTTGGAGTTTATTTTGGAGCAGGTTGCATGGTTTAATGGAAACAACAAGAATGACGTAAAGTGTTTCACTGATGTGATCACTTAGTATATTCAAGTTTGCAAGCTGTTGTTGAGCTTCATTCCCAAGGTCTACAAAGTGCATAAGCGAATCAAGAACTAATTGGCTATAGTCTCAATTGACGCAAAGGGGGAGATTGTTGATGATTTAGTGTTGTGTCATTGGGCCTGTTTTGTCTAGTCCATTTTGTATAAATGAGTTGGGTCTGTCTACTCATATTTACTGCTAGGGTTATAGTATATAAGGTGCATGCATGCTACGTATTTAAGTTAACTCTTATAATTATCTTTGTAACCCTACTTTAAGCCTCTACAGAAGCAATTCTCCATCAAGTTCTTCTGAGGCGTGACTATTAATCATTTAACACCAGTTTGATCATATCGTGTTCTGTTTACCAGTTTTAATTTATTCGATCATTAAGGATTTATTCCTATCAGCCTTAATTGTAATTTTTTGGCATTAATGAGCCAAGAATGTCATTTTTACAAAAAGTGGCCCTTTTATGCCATTTTAGTAAATAATTAAGCTAATACTAGCAAAATAATAACAAACGGGCTAATTTTTCCATTCTCATGTTATTGGGCATTAGTGGCCCATTTATATGCTTGATAGGTCCTCAATACTCTTTATATGTTTATTGGGCCTCATTGACCCATTAACATGCTTGACGGACCTTGGATACTTTTTGCGTGCTATTTAGGCCTGTAAATACCTTACATGTGAAATGGGCGTTAGTTTTCCTTTTACATATATTTTGGGCCCAAGTTATAAAATCTCATTCCTTTCAGGCCTGGAAATGACTTACATGTTTAGCGAGCCTTAGTTGTTCACTTACATGGTTCATTGGGCCTGGAATATGTTTTATATATTTCTCTTCGCGTAAATTCAATTAAGGATCTAGTGAGATGTGTCGGTTGACACCTACTGAGTGTACGATGGTAGCCTGTAGTTGTGAGAACCCAAAATTTTCATTCGTACGAACTCTACAATCCAACACTTCAATTAAAAGTTAAATATTTTTCTACTAATTTTTAGCCAGTTTAAAGTCCATTTGAGTATTTTAATTAATTATTCACGAATTGGATGGATAAAAGGAAGTGATTTCTAGTTAATCGGGAATGTAATGGATCAATCAACACCTTGAATTGGTGTTCACGGCCAAACAAAGAGAGTTTGGGCCGTGAACTCTCTTAGGGCCGCAAACTCATGCCTTAAGCATGAGTTTATTCTCCATTCTTTCATTTCCTAACTTCCAAACTCAAGAACCAAAGCCATTCTCTCTCAAGTAGCATACCGTTCTTCACCCGATCTACCAAAAATGTAAGTATTACTTGACTTGATTTGTTGTTATAACCTATCTCCTAGTCATTATACATCATTTCATCCATTCAATTGTTGAATTTCATTAGATCTTCAAAACACCAAGAACACCAAGAACACACACTAGTGTTCTTGGACCTTAAACACCCAATCAAGCTCCTATCTTGTAAGTTCACTTTCCCTAGCTTCTTGTATGCTTAGTATGATCTTAATAACACTTGAAAATCATCAAGAAACCATAGAAGAAAGGAGTTTACGGCCAAGGATGATCTTGGGTCGTAAACCCCTTTCAAGGTGGTAAATTGGACCTTTGTTCCTTCCTATGCCTTGGATGCCAACCTTGATCCTTCCTAGAAGTGTTTAAGACCTTAAACAACAATCAAAACAACTCCTCATAAGAGTTTACGGCCGTAAACACCTAAGGAAAGGGTCCGTAGGCCATAAACTCTACTAGGTAGTGTTATTGTGCCCTTAATGCTACCCTAAGGCTTGGACTTGATCATTAGATGTTCAATCTTGACTTGTAAGACCTTAAATCACCAAATGGAACTTAGTACCATGAGTTTACAGCCGTATACTCATGGGGGTAATGACCTTAGGCCGTAAACTCCACAAGGAGTGGTCTTTGGGCCATAAATTCCAATGTCATGCCATACAGCCTTTAGATGCAACCCTTTGGTACCTATAACACTTGAATCAAAGTGTTTTCATGTCTTAGGGTGTTTTTAACTTGGTTAATTAGTTTTTAAATGACTAATTAGATACATATATGTTTGATTATATGTTAACTAGGATCATTGTGTGTGTACAAGTCCTCACTTGACACTTAGCTTCCTACATCCTCCGTTCATCCAAACCACCAACTGTAGGTGAGTTCATACCCCCTAATCAACGTTTTAAATGTTTTTAAATGCTTTTATAGGGGGGGAATACAAGTTAAATCATGCTAGTTATTATATCAATCACATGTGATTTATAACCAGCATACAAATGGATTTACCACACTTTTAGCTGTTTTATCAAACCGTTTACTTCAAATGGCGTTCCAAAACGTTTTACTTGTTTAACAACTTTTTATTAAACTGTACTACTTTTTGTATGTTTTCTTCCAAACTCTGTTATATTTTGTTATCAAAGGAATTACTTTTGAAATGCTTTATAGAATGACATCAAGTCATTATTATTTATTTATTGTTCAAAACCCTTACATGTTTTACAAAGCTTCGTTTATACTTTTAAATTGTTAAAAGCATGCCTATATATGTATAGTTATATAACTAATGTTTGAAGGACTTAGGAAGGCTAGCTCGCCTTATTTCCTTTTCCTCGTTGGGATGTGGCTTTAGGGTATCGGTTATCCATCCGAAGGTCGTTTAACTATTAGTTATATATCATGTATACATATATAGACATAAAAGTACCCTCAGTCAGTTCAGTACCTTTGGCTAGCAAAGGTATACCTTCGTTGATACTTGTACATTGGTAGTAACTTTTATAGGTATGGTTAGGAGATACTACTTGCTATTCCTATTACAAGGAATTACACCAGATTCAGTTCATACATGAGTCTATACTAAATGCTATATGAAGAGATACACTTACATGAATACACTTACTTGGATACACTTACATGGATACTTTTACATAGATACCTTGTTAAAAGCTTGCATGTATATGTATAGTTATATAAGTAATGTTTAAAGGACTTAGGAAGGCTAACCCGCTTTATTTCCTTTTCCTTGTTGGGATGTGGTCTGGTGGGTATCGGGTATCCGTCCGAAGGTCGTTTAAATATTTAGTTATATATCATGTGTACATATACGGACATAATAGTTCTGATTAGTCAGTTCAGTACCTTTGGGTAGCAAAGGTATACGTTCATATATCCCTAGTAAGCTATTATAGGTATAGTTTGGGCTTATATATGATTTGGTAATAAATATGGATTTTGACCTAGCGATTCATTGCGGAAGTCACCTTTAGTTCCAAACATAGAATAGGAACTACCAATCATATTACTACTTACTTACAACGGGTCTCGTGAGAAGACTACTTACATACAGCGGGTCTCGTGAGAAGACTACATACATACAGCGGGTCTCGTGAGAAGACTACTTACTTACAACGGGTCTCGTGAGAAGACTACTTACTTGCTTACTTTCTTTCACTTAAGTCTAGGTAGAAGACTACTTTCAAAACAGTCTAGTTTTGGTAGAAGACTACCTTTTTATACTAGTAAGAAATATGGGATTTTCTAGGAAATTCAAACGTTTACACTTTTACTTATAAGACTTTTCATTAATACTTATATAGATAATGACATTAAATAGTTATGAATTCACCAGCTTTAAAGCTGATACTCTCTTTCAAAATAATTTGTGTTCTCAGGTCACAAATAGACAGGTACCGATGTAAGGTTTAGAGAAGACGGAGCAGTCAAGACTCGTCTTTTATTTTGAGTATTCATTATGTTGTTATTACTATGAAAGAATACACTTGTAAGTAAAATTATACTAATAATGCAATGGATGATGTTGTTGCTTGTTTACTACTTTGCATTGTTGTGATACTGTACATGACGTCCTCCGCCCCCAAACGTTTCCACCGTCCCAATTTTGGGGTGTGACAGTAGTTATAACCCGAGTCTCTTAGAGGGAGAGCAGGGGGTTTGTGTATAGATCTATATGGGGATGTCACCCCACACCTGAGTTGTTCGCTACAGTTATACTACACCAGTCTAGGGTGACAAAAAAACTTATTCAATTATCCGTCGGCGTCCATAAACGCCTAGACAGGCGAAATTGTCATTATCTAGTATGGTTATAACGACTCACTTAGAAGAATTAACATTATGAAATTTACGGGAGACCATTCTCTTTGGATTACTCAGGAACATACTTGCGCCGGTACTCAATCTGGGGGTCGATATACCAG